TGGCCAGCCCCTTCTGCTCCTCCACTGTGTGGGAGATGACACGTGACAGCTGTGAGTGCCAATGAGTAACTTCTCAGTCTCTAGTCTATTGCCACTGTGAAATAAGTGTTTCTGTGGTGGTCCCAACTATCTTGTTTGGGGAAAAAAAACCCGACATAGTGATTTTCTGTAATAGCAGAACCTTATTTTTTAAGGGCCTACAGTATACTTATCTCAACATGAGATATAGTAGATGACAACAAGATTTAGAAATAATACTTTTGGTATTTCCCATAAAATACAGACTCTTTTCTAAGGTAGGATTTAAGAAGTGTTATAATTTAGTCCTAAAGATATTAAAGAATTATATTAGATCATAGGCCCTTTTCACCCAAAGAGAAAGGTATAAAGCACTCTGAAACTAAGTCTCACTTATTTTAACTCATGCCTATTATTTTTAGTATTTCTTTGAAATAATATTTTGAAATCTCTAATAGGTCATGGGGAAAAGACTGTACCTACAATGTTATTGATATAGGAAATCTGGCATGAGGAAGCACCTTCTACCAATTCAGATCAATTCTTCAATTTATTATCACAGAAAGATCCATGAAAACTTGAGATACTATGTGTCAACCACAGGACTTGGACCCAGTTTTGCTGGTTCTGAGACCAATTCTCTATTGTTGTCTACTATTACTGCTGCTGCTGCTATGGGGCTATTACTACCACTACTACTACTACAATTCTGTCTCTTTTTCTCTCCCACTTTGTATATATGTACATTATATTTATTTTATGTATATATACATATTATATATAATTTTAATTTATCTCACTTGATATTTTAGTAGTCATATTTCTGGCAGTGCTATCCCTATTGGAGACTCTACTGGGTAGATAAACTAAATAGGTCCCGTATTTTTCAATGCTTATCACATACATTTTACATTTATTATGCTTGTAACATTTAAATGTCCAATTTGGCCAATGCAGGAATTCCTCTCATACCTCACCCTCCATCACAGTTCTAACCAAGGCAAAGCACCTGCAATTTAATCAATCAGTCAATTAGTCTATAAACATTAAACATCTACTGTGTTTCAGTCATTGCGCTAGACCTTGGAGGAGATAATCAATCAACATTCATTAAAACTTAGTATGTACCAGGCACTGTGCTAAGGGCTAGGGATGCTAAAAGAGGCAAAAGACTTTTCCTTCCTTCAAGAAGCTTACAATCTAATGGGGAGAAAATATGCAAACAAATATATACAATCAAGCTAGATACACGATAATTAGAAAATAAATAAAAGAAGGATGGTATTAGAATTAAGAGGGGTTGAGAAAAGCTTCCTGCAGAAGATGAGATTTTAGTTGAGACATAAAGGAAGACAGGGAAGGCAGTAGACGGAGATGAAGAGGGAGAGCATTCCAAGCATGGGGGACAGCGAGAGAAACTTGCCTGGAGCCAAGAGTTAGAGTATCTTATTCACGGAATAGTCAGAAGGGCAGTGTCGCTGGATAGAAGAGTATCTGTCAGAGTGTAAGGTGTAAGAAAACTGGAAAGATGGGAAAGCTAGGTTATGAAGGGCTTTGAATGCCAAACAAAGCATTTTGTATTTGTTCCTAGAAGCAACAGGGAGCCACTGGAGTTCGTAGAAGGGGTGAGGGGGAGGGTGACTTGATGGGACTTGCACTTTAGGAAAATCACGTTAGTGGCTGAATGGAGGGTGGATTAGAGTAGAAAGAAACATGAGGCAAGAAGACTCACCAGCAGCCTATTGTAGCAATTAAAGCATGAGGTGATAAGGGCCTGCACAGAGTGGTGGTAGGGTCAGAGAAGAGAAGGGTGTCATAGTGAGAACACTTGCAAAGGTCAAATAGACAGGCTTTAGTAACAGTTTGGATATTGGTGAGAGATAGTGAAAAGGACACATAGGAGAACAGAAAGATTGAAATGAAACAAACCTGCCTTCAAAGTCCATACGTTCTATTGGGGAAGCAATTAATACATATATTCATATATATATGTGCATCTATGTGTGTATGTGTATACACAAGTCAGACATGACTTAATATATATGTGTAGAATATAAGTGATATAGTGGATAGAGTGTTCAAATATTATGTATATATTATATTCAAATGTATATAATGTATTCAAAATAAGTAAATGGTAATTTCTGAGGGGTATGAAAAGTTGAGTTTCCTCAGTGACCTGACTGGTATTGCCCAAATAAGGCTACTCCATAAGCATGACATAAATTGTGTCAACAAACAGGTAAAGTACGACACTTGAAAGGACTAATTGGGTGTTACCATGGCCACCAGGAGAGCTATAATAATTCAGCTCCCCAATAACCCAGTGAAGCTCTCTAGCTAATGATCACTAGCCTATGTGATTCCTGGTTTTAAATTTGAACCAATCCCAACATGGTGATTCCTGCTGACATGGACAGAGTGGAGTTCATGGGCAGGCCATGCAGCAGGGCACACCTGAGAAATCACCGGCTCAGACTCATGAACATCCACCTGCTACCATCACTCTCTTGGTTCACCTTTTATCTTTCTAACTGTTGCTCTTCCCTTTGCTTTTTCCTTGTTTTTTCCCCAATGCCAGGACCTCTAGTATATTTTTTTCTGTTTTTAAAAATTTATTAACTTGTGGAAAAAAACAAGCATTTCCATAACATAATACAATAAAAAGATGTTTGTACATGAACTGCAAAACTATTATGTACAACTTGCCATTTTTTAAAATATGTAATAAAATTACCATGTGAATTTTTTCATTTTCCTTTTTCCTTTTTTTCTTCCCCCTACCCTAGAGATGGCTACCATGTAGACACTACACACACACATACACACACACACACACACACATATTTGTGTGTGAATGTATATGTACACATGTATACATATATATGTAAAATTATTCTATACATACTTCTATTTATCAGTTCTTACTCTGGATGCAGATAGCACCTTTTATATATGTCCTTTGCAGTTAATTAATAGTTATAATAGTTAAAATGACTTATTCGTTCAAAGACATTCTTAAAACAACATTGCAGTTACTGTATACAATGTTCTCTTGGTTCTGCTCATTTTACTCTTCATTATTTCATGCAAGTCTTTCCATATTTTTCTAAGATCATTGAGCTCATCATTTCTTATAGCACAGTAGTATTCCATCACAATCATATACAACAACTTGTTTTATATTTTCTCAGATTCTTAATATAAAAAGGACTTCAGAAGCTATCTAGGTCAAACTGCAGCTGATAAGTGGTTATCCAGCATTTGAAGGGTCAGACATGACTCAAACAACTGAACATTGGTGTATGACTCTTCATCATATATATTAGTCAATTCTCTCTAGATTTTGGATATCAGACTTTTATCAGAGATGTTTAATGAAATAATTTTAACAGAATCTAGTTTTGAATTTTTACTATTTTTTTATCTGAAATCACAATTCTTTTCCTATACCTGAAATCATATTCTAACCATCCCCTTGCCAAGTACCTTGCCATCCAGACCAGAAGATATGCCCTGGATGAATTTATCTCTCATTTCTGGAAGTCACACTACTTTCCTAACTCATGAGTTCACTAATCCATACTGGCACCAGCCATGCTTCACTTTACTCTTCAGCCAGGCAGAGTGCTGAGCCTGTCGTCAGGCAGACATGAGTTCAAATATGGCCTTAGGCTTGTACTAGCAGGGCAAATCTGGGTAAGTCACTGAAACTCTCTTAGGCTCAGTTGCCTCATCTGTAAAATAGGGACAATAATAGCACCTACCTACCAAGCTTCTTGTGAGAGTAAAACGAGATAATATTTGTAAAGTTTTTGCAAACCTTACAGCACTATATAAATCCTAGATAATATTAACTATTCTTCACCAACTCAGTTGCTGGCTTTCCTCTATCCTCCATATCTAAGACCATAATCAAATCAATATATTGATTGCTCCTGGAAGCAGTGTGCCACTCTACTCTCCTGTGGCTCAATTCACTGCTGTGTGGTTTTCCAAACCAAAATACCTCTCTCCAGCCATCACTGTGCTATTTCCCTTATTAGAATGAAAGTTACTTTGGATCAGGGACTGTTTTCATTATTGTATCTGTACCCCCACTGCTAGTATAGTACTTAGCATATAGTAAGTATTTAATAAATATTGTTTCATTCATTCATTCACAATGGTAATTTCTGCTTGTGTGTGTGTGCATGTATGCATATGTATGTGTGTGTGTGTGTGTGTGTGTATGTATGTTCAACAGAATCATGAGACAGTCAATTGATACAATGGATAGAGAACTGGGTTTGGGGTCAGGAAGTCCTGAGTTATAATCTCATCTCAGACACTTACAATCTGTGTGACCCTGGGCAAATCACTTAGCTACTGTCTGCCTCAGTTTCCTCAACTATAAAATGGGGAAAATAATAGTACTTATCTTCCAGAGTTGTTATGAAGCTCAAATGAGACATTTGTAAAGTGTTTTGTAGAAGCACAGTACCTCACACATGGTAAGCATTTAATAAATGCCTATTTCCTTCCTTCACAAGAAATATTAGTCCAACCCTTCATTTTAAATCTGTATATGTCCTATTTGTGTGTGTGTGTGTGTGTGTGTGTGTTTGTAAGCAAGCATTCTGCAATTGTCTTACAATTTATAAATGAGTTCAGTCCATTGACATTCAAGATAACTGTTAAGCTTGGGTTCACTTGGGTTTCATCAGATCCTGTTGTGCATTTGTGGGTTAAAATTCTTTTAAAAACTCAACAGAAGATACTATATGACTTGTTTTCCTTGAAACTATCAGGTTCTAGTCCTCACATTCACAGACACCTTCTCCTATAGCCCAAACCCAGATCCCTGCATTCTGCTTTTACTGACATGATTGTTTTTTCGCTTTTCTTGTCCAGTCCAAATAAATGTATGGTGTAGGCTCACCTCTTTCCATTACCTTATCTCTCTTATTGAAATGTAATTCTGATTTCAAAAAATAACTTACTTCTTCCTTCATCTCCCTTCTTCTATTCTCCAGGTAATTTACTTCTGCCTGATCTGCAGGAAAGGAAAAGGATGATACATATATCAATACGACCATATCTTAAAGGGGATAAATTTTTTTAGAGGGGAACCAGAAATATGTCATTGCATTTTACGTGATTATTTTATTGAAATTTCTCTCTTAAATGTTTTTTTCCCTTAATGTTAACAGGAAGCCCAACTTGGAAAAGAGAAAAAAGAAGATTTTATGTCTAGAAAACTTCAGCACTAAGGATCCTGAGAATTGTTTTTTTTTCATTCTTAAAATTGTCAATTTTATTGACATCTTCAAAATTTCAAGGTTAAGCCCTTCCTACATGAGACTTTTCTATTTGAGTAAATTTCATTGACATTATTTCCATTAGTTTCTATTATTCCATTTCCATTAGAAGGGCATTGCAATTTATGCTTGTTAGTTATAAAAATGATATATCAGCTAACCTTCATATTTTGAGATTTTAATTAACTTTAAATTTTACATATCAAGCTATTTCTTTCTCTCTTTTATAAAGAAGCTTAAGGATAAAAAAGAGTTTTCTAAGACTAAGTGAAATTGACTTACTTTCAGATATACCTGTTTTATAAGTGGTGTGATATCTTTCTTTGTCAGTACAACATTCCAGCTACAGATATGGTCTGGCTTGAAAGAAAACATATCTGCTTAGTCATTTTATCTCAAATGCCCTAGCACTTTGCTCATATCCCTTTTTAGAATTAAAAGCTTTAGAATTAATGTGTCATGACAGAATTTTAAAGCAATGATGTTTCAGTTGAAGAGGTCTATGTAGTTGGTCACATGCACTGTCCTAAACTACCTTGGGACACACACTGATATTAAGATATTATATTTATTGCTGTTGATGAATTGTTTTCATTTGTGTCTGACTCTTTTACCCCATTTGGGTTTTCTTGGCAAAAATACTGGAATGGTTTGCCATTTCCTTCTCCAGCTCATTTTACAGATAAGGAAATGGAGGCAAACAGGGTTAAGTGACTTGCCCAGAGTCACAGCTAGTAAATGTCTGAGGCTAGATTTGAACTCAGGAAAATGAGTCCTCTTGACTCCAGGCCCTGCACTCTATATACTGAGCCATCTAGTTTGCCTCATTAATGACATAGACCATCTTAAATATTCTACATATAAAAAAGTCTCACCAGTGTTTTACCAAAAGCAGTATTACCCACTAACACACCCTTGTTCACTATAGAGGGATGATTTTTTTTATACATGTCTTAGGTGTTTTAATTAATAGTATGCCACATAAAAAAAATTTGCTGACAGAAAAATGGGTGGGGGGTAGAGAGGTATATATTCAAAGAGATGCCTACTACAATCCAGAGAAGGATAGAAACACCAGGACTGCCTATTATACCTAGTGCTAGGCAAGGGAATATACTGTAGAAAACAAAATAATGACTATTCTTTAAAATATTATGAACTAACCAAAAAATAATAGATCAGTACTAGACAGACACCGACAGATAGCTATCACACACATTTTAAATGTTCACACAACACTGTATACTCAAATTCTATCAGTCTTTTAAACTATGGAGTGGGGATATAAAAAAGTGCACCACATCTCAGCAATGTAACCATTGCCCAACACTTTGGGGGATTCCAAAGTCAGTTTTTGAGCCATGTAAGACAATGATCTCATCATTTTGCAGTCATACCTTAATTTTTTGGCAATCTGTCTTTCATGTTCCCCATTATTAATCTTCTTGTCAGTGCTGCACAGTGGATAGAGAGTTGACCTTAAAGTCATGGGGACCTAGATTCCAGTCCCATCTGTGACACATGCTGTGTGACCCTGGGCTAGTCACTTAACCTCTGAGTATTCTGGGCAACAGGTGCTGACTTGCATTGGTTAAGGGAGTTTACTCAACTGCTATACTGATAAAATTCTAGTCTTATCTCTACTGTCAGCTGTGAATGACTTTTGCCTGTTAAAAAAATCAAGTTAAGCCTTAGAGGACAAAGATTTGACTCTGGGAAAGTTTGAATGTATTATAAAGAGAATCTAAATGATTAGTAGAAAAAGAACCCTTGCCTCAGTGTCTTTGCATTGTAGTAAATGTTTGATGTCTTCTTCAGTTTCAGGTTTGCCTCTTTAAGATTATAAATTAAAAATAAACCACTGAAAAATATATGGGTAGCACATGAGAGAACACTTTGTTTGATCTTTGCTCATAGAATCAACAATTAATGATCTAGGATGTGGAGGACCGTTTAACCTACAAGTAATTATTCAGTGAGACTTTAAATACATGTTGCAGACTAATTATAATAATAGCTGACTTCTTATAGATTTTTATAGTTTACAAAGTACATTACAGTATCTCATTTGATTCTCACAACAACCCTAAGTTATTTTTGTCGTCCGGTCATTTTTTTTTCAGTAGTGTCTGACTCTCCATGACCCCATCTGGGTTTTTGTTGTTGTTTTTTTTGTTTGAGTTTTTTTTGTTTGTTTTTTGGTGAGGCAATAGGGGTTAAGTGACTCACCCAGAGTCACACAGCTAGTAAGTGTTATATGTCTGAGGCCAGATTTGAACTCAGGTCCTCCTGACTGCAGGGTAGGTGCTCTATCCACTGTGCCACCTACCTGCCCCTGGGATTTTCTTAGCAAAGATACTGAAGTGATTTGCCATTTCCTTCTCCAGCTCATTTTACAGATGAAGAAACTGAGGCAAACAGGATTAAGTGACTTGCCCAGAGTCACACAGAGAGGAAGTGCCTGGGGCCAAATTTGAACTCAGGAGGATGAGTCTTCCTGACCCCAAACCTCGTGCTCTATCCCCATTGCCACCTAGCTGTCTGTGAAAAATTATCAGAACTACAAAAAGGAGTTTTAATTTTTTTCTTCTTTTTTCTTCTTCTTTTTTTAAATGCTAAAGGCAAGGACAAAGAAGAAATAGATCTGCTGCTTGGGGCAGATGAAGCAGTGTTAGGACATGCAATGGCAAAGTGAAATTATTCACCTCTTCTGTGACATCCTTTATCAAGTATTCATTTTGAAAAGATTAAAAACTCTGGCTTGGAAGCTAAGAGTTCTTGTCTCAGATCCACCAGTAACTGGCTGTGCGACCTTAGACAAGTTATTTTACCATTTCAGAACCTAATCTTCAAAATGAAGGTTTTTGACTTAGATTCTCTGCTATATGTTTTCTGGCTCTTAGTATAAAAATTCATCTTTTGAATTCATGTAACATAAAACAAATTTTGTTATGCAAATATTCATCTTCAATTTCAGGTTTATATGATCGACATTTTTCATACCTTGTGTTATTAACATGATTCCTTTCTAATTTAATTATTTGTGACTAAATTTTGTAAAATGTGGAAATACAAGAGGAGAGGAAAAATGGTTGAGGTACATGAAAACCAAAAAAAGCATGAAGATAATAAAGCATATTATTGCTCTAAATACTCTCAAACCTGACACAGATGATTTATATCCCAAAGTATTCCTTCCTTGCCAATGTACTAGTCTAGTAATCCTGTTAACAAAATAAATGAGGTTAGTTTGGCATAACTTCCTATTAATAAACATAAAATAAATAAACATTGGCTCCTAGAGATCCCAGATCACCTCCATTTCCTAATGCTCACATCCATTATTAATTAATATATTCTGGAATTTTACCAGAAATGAATGTTATATGCACTCACCTATATTACAAAAAATTCACTTTCTTTCTCTTATGAAAACTGAGACCACCATCTAGCTCTAGTCATTCCTCTCCATTTCTCCTTAATTCCTCAAAAATCAATGATAGTGTTTCAACAATTATTGCTGATTCCTTTGGAATCTACAAATTCTTTTGGGATGCTATAGATGTAATATTTAGCCCAGTGTCTGGCATTTAATAGACACTTAGAAAATTTTAATAAATATAAACTATATTTATATATGCATATCGATATAAAATGTATTACTAATGCATATATAAAATAATTTAAGTGTTTATTGACCAACTGATTGACTATATAGTTATGGACAAGATGATGAGATCTTGGCTGAATGGTTGGCTGAATTATAGTATAGTTAGGTAGATTACGAATTGGTCAAATGACCCAAACTTAGAATCAAGTACCTTGTCCAAAGCTATACAAGCAGATACAGCAAAAGAAGGCTGTAAACCTAGCTCCTCTGGCAATAAATCTATTGCCCGTCAGTATCATGTTAATAAGTGTGAAAGGAGCAAGCCCTTGACCCCTGTCCATGGACTTGATAAACTGCACATGGGCAACTAATAGGGAGAAGCAGAAAGGTGGCATTGTAAGATAACTTGTGGCTGTGTCATGCTCCTATTTGTTATGAATTGCTACTTACCTGGGACCCCAGAGTGATGATAATATGAAGGCAGAAACAGGACTGGAAGAACACAGCTGATAGTTATTCTTCCAGCCCTTCCTCAGCCCACTCTCCACCCAGGGTTTCAGGAGAATACATGCTCATGATAGGCAGAAGGCTATACAAAAAGAGAAGAACAATATCTGGATGCTGGGTCCTGTATTCTTTCCTTTGCCTTTGACAGAGACCTCCTATTCATCTTCCAGAGGCACAGGGTTAAGAAGTCTGCTGCAGTCAAACTGAGGCTCCCTGCCCACCATGTGGGAATCAGAATCTTGGGTTATTGCTTACCATAGACCTAACCTCTAATTTGCAGCGTTTGGGACCAGGGACTGAGAAGGTTGAAATCAGATTGGCAGACAATGCCAAGTGCTATGACCCAATCATCTGTCTCTGGTGACCTAGACCAGCACTGTGGAAACAACTGTGCTGGGAGCAGAATCAGGATGATCAGAGCAAAAAGAGGTCCCTGTGTGTCAGAGACTGGAAGTTACAAAGGAAGGGATACTGACTCATCTTCCCATCCTTCCCTTGCCTTCTTTGTTTGTCCTTCAGGATCCAGGGATGAAGTCCTAGGCATACAAACTTTCATTTTATTTCTTTTCAGTGGGTGAACTTTGTGCAGGAAATCCCAACTACACTTGAGAGT